ACAGTATAATCACTATTAGGTTTATAAACTAGATTTTAAAAGTTACAGTATAATAAATACTAGAGTTGCCACATTAAATTACAGTTGATAAATCAGTTTGTGAAACTCTACACCCAATCAACCAAAGGAAGAATTTTTTTGTATTTTTCATGACATTGAAGCTAATTTCTGTGGCACAATTTCAAATAAGTCTGTAAAAATATTTGCCACAACATTTACGTGCGCTATTTTCTGAGAAATGAAATTTCAGGGAGTTAAAAACCGGCAGTTATTGTTCACAGTGATTTTACAGTTTTAAAAATGCAAAAATAATGTGATAGTGGACATTTAAAAGTAACCCTAGGATGCCATATTTTCACCTTTAAACTTTAGATTGATTGTTAACAACACTCTTGGTATGATGTAATGCACTGTTTACTGTATATGATGCTCTTTAAAATATAATTAGGTGGGAATAAAAAACATTTGATGATGAACGAGTTTTTAAAGTGCAGTTTCTTAATAATTACCGGCACTAATTACTAGCAGCAATAAAAGAAAGAAAGATCCAATACATTGAAGTCACTAATCCAGAGTGCATGCACATTTTTAGATAGAATATTTTGCTATAATTCTGAATCACGTTTTTGGAAAATTGAAGATCGTCTGTTTCTTACCAGTTTTGAAATTGACTCTCAGAATGAATTTTACTTTCACATAAAAATTTCGAGGTAATCCATAGTGAGAAGAGTATCCATTTACAAGTATTGTTAGATGATCATTACAAATAAAACACACACAAATAATTATGAAATTAAAAAGCAAAACAAGAGAGTAAACATATCAAAGTCACGGTACAATCGCGCTTTCCAAAACAGTTCGCCATGATATGTGACTGATTCAGATATGATGATGATGATGCTTGTTCAATTTCGAACTTTTTTTTTTCTTACTGACGTCATAACCATAAAAAGCAAAGTTCAAAAAGATATTGAAAATTAAACAAAATCTTAAGCTTGAAAGTAAGCTGCAAAATGTTTTAAACTATGACTATCAATTTAATGATCGAAAGTTGACATTATGACGATATATCAATGATGGACAGAATGATTGAAGTGAAGTGAATAAAAATAGCAGAATGCATGTCAAATGCAGGATCGGTTTCGTTTTATTCAAAGATGTATTTTTTTTTTTTTCCCTTTCTTTTTGTTTTAATAAATACATTTTAATACTAATAATGTATCAGTATTTCTTTAAATAAAATATTACTTAATTTTCAACATAATTGAAAATGGAAAATTTGTTTTGTTAACGAATCTAAAATTGATTCTAAAATGTGTATAATTTATATTTGTTTTTTTTTCTGCCATTAGTTATTATTATAAGTAATTATTATTTAAAAACTATAAATTTTCTCTACTTTTTAAAAGATGAAACATATTCATTATATTTCTTATAATTAAATACATTTGCATAATTGAAAATGCGTAGTCCTTTTAATTACAGTTATTTTGCGAGGTATAGTAAACACTGAATAAAAAAAAAAAAAAAAAAGAATAGTTTAGTTATTTGTAATAGTTTTAGTGTAAAAGTTAATTTATTTATAATGGTTTTTGGTCTATCTAAAAAGTTTAGACCAAAGATGCCAAAATGAAAGATCTAGTTCTCTATCAGTAGTAAAATAACTAAGTAAATAAATGTTTTTGAAATTTTGCAAATACTTAAAACATCGCCGTTAGGTATTTTATGAATATGTTTGAATCATTTAAATTTTGATTGCCACAATCAGTTTAAACTGAATATTAAATTCTGAAATTTTCTAAAATTCGGGATGAATGATTCAGAATTGTATAATGCAAACTATAAAAATTGTCCTTTTAAAGAATAATTAATTCAAATTCATAATTTATTACTTTTAATAAGTGTATATTTTAGTAAGAATTAGAATACTTTTATACATAACGAATGTGGAGTAAAAATATATTCAGAGAAGAGAAAATTCTTCTAAAAAAAAAAATCTCTTGAATGGAAAAACACTTAATTTTTTATTTGATGAGCTATGACAAAAAAATATTTCTTAGTTTTTATTTCTAAGGTATTTTTTTTAGTCCTAATATTAAATTAAATTCCATAATATAGTCAGTATATATTATTTAATAAGTCATTGAAAAATACTCTGTAAAATTAGACTTAAAAAAATTAACTTAAGAAACCTGTCAAACATAGGAAACCTACTTTAAGTAATTTTCAACTATTAAATAAAAATCTGTATTTTTAAATTAAGCTTAACTGTATGTTATTAAAAAAATCTATTTAAAAAAAGGTAAAAAATTAGACTTATAACGATTAACATTAAAATAGCATAAGAAATCTGTTTCAAGTAATTTTCAACAACTAAATAAAGTATTGAACTTATAAATTAAGTTGTATTGCTTATTAGATGTATTTAAAAAATGTTAAAGTTGCAAAACATTTTTCATTTGTCAGTTAAAAAAAAAAAATTACTTTCTAATCATATTTATTTTATTCACCAAAAAAATATTATGAATAAAAAATAAGAATTTAAATAAATTTTTCACAAGTTCACATGCCTCAAATAAAAAAAATAAACACAAGCCTTTTTAATTCTACCTTAAAAATGTAGTTGTAAAGAAACTAGTATTTTAAAATAAATAAAAAAATTTAAACATATATTGAAATTCAATTAATATAATGTTTCATTTAAAACTTATAGACAGAAATGAAATAAGACAAAACAACTTTGAAAATGCAGTTTTATCTCAGTCCTATAGAATCAAGTTGAAAAGTCAGTGGGTCATTCATTCATCTACCTAATTTTATCTTTTATTCCCAAAATTCATCTTACTCAAAAAGATAGGTATTATTCAATTAGGTATTTCAATCCCAATAGAAGAGATAAAACTGCATTTTAAAAGTTACTTTTTCTTTCATTTTTTTTCATCCATAGACTTTAAATCCTATATTAATAAAATTTCAAAACTAAGAAGAAAAGGGTTAATGGCTCTCTAGTTGCAATTATTCGTACTGTAGTGTACCAAATTGACTTAACATACTTTACAGGGGTTTGTCTAGGTTTTTCTGAGAGGCACCTATTTTGTGAAAATTTAGACATAATTTGTAAAAATGAAAAATTACATTAAAAAATTAACACAAAAACATGGATTTATTACTTCTTACGGGATAAAAAAATAAAATTTTAGGAAAAAGTATTTTGTGAAACTAACGTTTTTCCTTAAGTTGAATTTGTGAAGGTACCGCTAAATAGGAGTAAATTTGTCCTGGACAGACCCCTGCTTTAGGTACGCTGATAAAATGCTGTTATAAATTAAGCCTGAGGAAGAAAAAAAAAACAGACAAGGTATCTCAAGGTTGTGGTTTTTGTGAGTTATAAATAAGGCAATCAGTTGAGTTCAATTGCTGTATGTTGAACATCTGTGTGTAATTTCATTTAATGGCCCACTGAATTATCAACTGTGACCTAATAGGATTCTGTTAAAAGTGCATCTTAAAATTTTATCATTTGCTAGTGGTTTAACAGCATACCTCATAGGCATGTCTGACCAGCTGCAGATTTTCCTCGGTTTGCTCGGTGTTTTGGGATGAAATGTCACACAAAGCATCTATCCTTTCTCAACATAAAAATGTCCGCTCTTTGTTGATATAAGATTAATAGATTTAAAAATATTTCATTTTCTTGATATTAATACTAAATTATATTTAATTATTAGTAACTGATCAATAGCATATTAATAGGATAACCGTCGTTCGGTGTTGGTGAAAAATGCCGGCTCATAGGCTATTGAACAATTAAGTGTTAAAAATTATTTTGTCTTCCATTTTTATTCCAGGATTAAATCATATATTATTTTAATTCTAAAACTAAATAAAGTCTAAAAAAAATAAGGTTTAATGGCAGATAACTGGAACCGGTCATTCTATGCCTAACATAAACGACAATGTATACCTTAGGTAAACTGGTCAAATGATGTTTAAGGATAAACAAGACACATACAATAAAGGACGAAAGACCACTGAGTACCTCTTTGTGGTGGGATATCTATGAATTACATATAAATAACAGAACTCTTATTTATAGGTAATGAGATAATTTTGTTTTTCTCTTTCTTTTTCCGATTTGAAATGTATAAATTTATGGAGTTCAGTCTCACAAAAGTGAGTTTAAACTCAGTCTAGAACAGGCAAATACGAATATATATTTTCTTTATCCTCCTCAAAATTCATCGTAATAAAAAAGATAAGGATTAAGCTTTTTATTCCAATGGATTTTAATAAGAGCCTAAAAAGTAAATTAAATATTTGTAGTCAGTATTAATAAAAATATATAAATAAGACAACCGCAATAATTATGAATAAAAGAATTTCAAATCATAGTAATAAGATAACTTTTATGTACTTTCTTATTCTCAGGTTTAAATTACAAATTTACGGGGTTNAGTAAATGAAATATTTGTAGATAGTATTAATAAAAAATATATAAATAAGACAACCGCAAAAATTATAAATAAAAGAATTCCAAATCATAGTAATAAGATAACTTTTATGTACTTTCTTATTCTCAGGTTTAAATTACAAATTTATGGGGTTTAGTTCTCCTAAACAGAACCCATCTCTATTCAACAATGGGTAAATATTAATCAAAGAAAAATTTTCCTTCAACCCCAAAAACTTGTTACTCAAAAAAAAAAAAAGTTCGATATTCGTAAGGGTACATGAGATAAATGACATTGTATGTGTAAATAATATTCCTAAAAATTGTATAAATATAATTTCTATTTGATTTATACCAGGGATGAGAGTAGTCAGAAAGTAAAAANAAGCGGGAATCCGCGAATCCGCGGAAGAATCTCATCCCTGTTTATACATAAAAAAAAACTTTAAATAATAGCAATGAGAATTTCTTTTTTATTCATGTATGTATTTATGTAATATTTTAATGTACAAAACTTTTTCTTTAATAAAAATGGAAAAAAAAGCAAAACTTACATAAAGCAGATTTATTCAGGAAACAAATATACATTGTAATGCCTCAACAAATCAGTCATCAAATATATATAACAGTATTGTTAAGAAAAATAATTTTGTTTTCTATTATAAAACAAATTTAACAAAAGCTTTAAGAATGTCACGAATAGGCTCCATTTCTGAAAAAATTGTTTCTCACAACATGCCGTATACATTGCATAATCACATTTCTCTCATGCCTTATTTCATCACTCAACAACTGAAAATAAAAAGAAAATAAAAACACTTAAAATATTGATATTTATTTGACATTAATAATCACAATTTATGCAAAGTTCATTTTTTAGAGTAAACAAAAAGCTTTGGATTACTTTTAATTTAATGATTAGGTTTTCCTTTATCAAGATGCTTTCTTTGAATCTAATCAGTATACTTACTATTAAATCATTAAGTCACATAATACATTAAACATAATAAATGACATAAATAAATTAACTTAATAAATTAACAATACATTTTTAAATTACACTTCAAATTAATAACCTAATATATTTTCACAATATAGAAGGACTCATACATAACTAAGTACTTTGGGAAGCAGAAAAATGTCCTTCATCCATTTGCTCACTAAATCTGAATTCAAAGTTGACACACAAAAGAAAAAAAATAAATAAATAAACTTAATGAATTACTTTCAGATTCTTTATTGCAAAGTGAAAAAATAATTTATCTAATATTGATTGCGTAGCTTTACAAAATTTTGTTGCATTCAATTTTGATCTCAAGTAGAAAGTTTAAATATACTGAAGCATTCTTCAATAGATAAAATTTTTTTCTCAACATTTTAAACAGATGAACAAAAATATTTCGATAGAATTCTTCTGGTCCCTATTCAAGGATTTAACTAAGATAAATTTAGTTCGTACTGCTTTATAATAATGATTATTTATCAGCTTCTTAATTAAGCTATAATTACAAGGGTGTAATTATATTAGAGTGCTTTTAGGAAATGTTACATACAAGCAATTAAATAGTCATTATTTACATAATATTGTACCGAGCCCAGGGGATCATTTTGATTGGATACGCCTAAAACAGTTCGTAAGACTAAAAGATTGTTTTTAACAGAATCTTCCAGAAAATATAGCAATTTCTAGCACACAAAAACAGTTCAAATAACATAGTACTCAGACCCTACGACTTCAAAGGGCTCAATGAGCTCAGGTCAGATTACTAAAATTATAAGAAGACTAATACTCTCTACTCTACCGACACACTACCATTTATGTAGGTTTGGCGAGGAAACCCAGGAACTTTCGACATTATTCTAGACAATTCTCGTATAATTTTGTAAATATTAGTCCTATTGCTTAAAACTCAAGTTGCCAGAACTACAACTTCATCACCAAAATGGTCACCAAATATTGCCAAATCAGCAAAAACTGTCGCCAAACCCTAGTTTTCTATAAGAAATAGATTAGACTTTATTTCTTTAAACTACGTTTGAATTACATGACTTTCAAGCAGATTTCTAACTGAACTAGGTTCAGTCTGAAATATTTAGTCTCACAAAGGAAAATTAACAAAATTATACACATATTTACTAATTTGTAACAATATTGCTACTGTCGGAATTGTTTTAATTCACTTATATGCATCAAAATTTTAAAAATGTTTATGTGCAGTTTTACACTCATATAAAAGGTTAATTATTTAAAAAAAATCAAGTTGTATTTTTTTTGCTGCAGCAGTTGTTAAAGGGAAAAAAGCTAAATATAAGAAATCATAATAATATCATACATAAGAAGAAACAACAAGTGAGTTTATCTCAACCTGCAATGTCAGCTAAGACAGCTTCCTTAGTTTTCATAATTTAATTACAGCATATAACTTTTAAAGGAAAATTGTTTTGTATAGGTTATTGAAATTATTTCACATTTTAAAAAAGCTGCTAACCATTTTAAGAAGGGAGTTTCTTGGTCTTGGAGGAACAGGTGGCCGACATCTTTTTTCATTTCTTTCTCTTTTGTTACCTAAAATAAGAAGAAAAAAAATTAAAATATTTTATTTAAAAAAAAAGGAACCAAAATAAATAAATATTATTCAAAATTAAATGTAATAGTAATACATATTTATAATCAATGTTACATTGTCTTAATTTTATATTATTTTGATGTTAATGCCCGATAGTCAGAGGTTCATTCGGAAGGATGCCAGGACTTATATATACATATCATATATCAATCATATATTTTTTACTTTCTAGATATTTATTTTTTATTCATTATTTACAATTATACCTATTTTAAAAAAAGTTTTAAGTTCTGCTTCTTGCTCCCTTCTTCATCTATATTCTATCAGTATCATGTCCATGATAATATTTCTCAGAAGAGAGTCCTTCTCTTTTTTTTAACTCCTTTCCTCCCCCATGGTAGGGGACATCCAGTGTCTTTTACCCACTGATCCCCAGGTCAGGGGTCGTTCAGATGCCTGAGAGTGGAATCAGAGTACCAACAGTAATTATTAGAGATGAATAATCACAAGATATTGTGATGTTGGCTGAATCGGCTTTTATTTTAGCAGTATCCTTTTTCAATAATGTGCCTATAAGGGATGTCTCCTATACAACAAAGCGTTAATATGGACTAAATACCAGTTGATTAAATATCACTTTGGCTAGGCATGGGGGATTTATCTTCCAGGGCCTGTCCTTATTGATAGTATTATGCAAAATTTATTATTTCACTTAGAAAGTCATTTGGATTAAATAGTCATTTCATTTTGTATCTCAAACTCTAGAACCACTACTTAAAAAATTTTTTATTATGATAATGATTCTGTTTTCATCATCATCCTTAATTATAATCATCTATACACCGCTCACACCAATCTTTGCCATTATACAACTCTAAGAACAAAAAAAACAATTTATAAAAATAATACAAAATAAAAATATAAAATTGATAACAAAAATTTAACAAATATATGATATAAAATTAATTATTAGTGTATTTTGAACTATAATTTAAAAAAAAAATGCTGATATTGATTAACACATGAAGTCTGCTGAATTATACACTGGGTACAACTAACCCCTCACACTGTTAGTTTCTGACCTTTTCCACACTTTAACTAGTTTTTTCCTAGAATAGCACAGCTTTACCCATTTTGCTGTTTATTGCAAATGCTGATGCATAAAAATTAAATTGATACATTTTTTCAAAATTCTGAACACACTAAAAGCATAGAACATTACACATAAATTGCTTTAAGATTATAACGCTACAGTGTAGACTTTAGGTAGGTAAGTACTTTATTTACACAACACTAGAGCCACATAATAGGGTATTGGCGACGGTCTGGGAAACATCCCTGAGGATGATCCGAAGACATGTCATTGCAATTTTGATCCTCTGCTTGGGTAGTCCGACGACCTGCAAGCGAAGTCTGTCTCTTTACGACTGAACAGTTTAACACGAATCAATACCACGCACTTTGGTCCTTACACAGGCTGATCAAAGGGGTCACCCACCCCTTTATTGACCGCAGCCAGTGATGCTTGACTTTGGCATTCTTTACGACCAGTCCACTAAGGGACCAGTGTAGACTTTAAGAAAACTTCTTCATTTCCTTTCTGCACTAATATCAATTAAGGAATTATTAGTTATAAAAAAAACTTTATATTAACCAAGTTTTAATTATAGTTTAACTGTAGAGCATACCTTTATTATCTTTGACTGATAACGACGATTTATTATTATGATTTGATTTTTCATCCATATTAGGTCTAGTAGAGGAAGAATCTTCTGCTTCATGTAATAATTCTAAATATAAAGACAAATAAAAAGTTTTTAAAAATATGCAAGATTTAAAAAAAAAAATTTTTTTTTAAGCTTCTTCTAACAACAATAACATTATTACTAGAGTTTAGAAAACTTATAACAGAAAAATGGTTTCAATAGAAAATTATCTGTGAATTAAAAAAAAATTGAGAATTGAAACATTAAATGATTGTCAATAGAGAACTGAAATAGCAAGCAAGTGAGCAGTCATACGCATGAACTCTTAAACATACATGTTTACCAGTATTTGAATAAAAATTCTTATTTTTTCTTGCTTGAATAACGAAAAGTTGAATCACACTGAGTTATTAATCAGGAGGAAATAAAATGTTAACAGTGAATAGTTCATTTCAACAAATAAACTGTTCTACATTTTTGTTTTAATTATACATATCAATTCACACACAATTAATAATAATTTAGATTTATGTTAATAATTTAGAGTTAGGTTAATTTAATGGGGATTCATAATTACCATGAGAAAGATATCATACTTCCTTGATACAAAAGATTAGCCAGCTGTTCTCCCCCCCCCCTCCATTTTCTTCTTCTTCCATTTGGAGTTTATTTTGCAAGTTTGTTAGAAAAAAGGTTTTATGAATTTATAAAAGAATGCCGAATATGTCGTGTTTCAAAACACTGAAATTCATATGCATTAAATCACAATGTATACAAATTGAATGAAATATAAATAAAAGTTTTACAGGATGTTTAACAAGTTCATTTTTAACAGCGTATTACCCCACAAACAAAACTAGACTATAATGCATGAGAGAGCAAAGTCAACTAGAACTACTAAGTAATATGAAAGAAACTACGAAAGTGAAGACAGTGAGCCTCTAAGTCGCAATTCAATATGCTTGCTTTAAAAAGAAAGTTTTTAACAATATTTTTTCACAATTACTAATTTGAGTGCATACGTCACAGTAAAAAATGTTATTAAGAATTCTTTTTTCTTCATATTCATTTAAAAACTTCAATTAGAATTAATACCAATGCCCTGTGTTTTCTAAAATTTAAAAGCCTCGAAATCAGCTTTCTTTTTTATATTCTGTTTTATATTTCGCTTTAATACAATGCCATATCAAACATGAATATATTTTTAACTCTGAATGATCTTGCAAAGCAGTTTTTATTTCAATATTTCCATTTATTTCTTTTTTGTTAATACCGCAACTTTGTGCTATGTATATATGCTATAGATTATATAAAAAATACTAGCAACTTATTTAGAAAAGAATACATTCATTCGCATTAAAACATAGTAAAAATTACAACACAATAATTGGGTTAACAATAGTTTAGATTTTTTAATGAAATAGCTTTAGCAATAAATGATAACAGTTTCAACAATTTTTTAAATATGAACATCACTTGGAAAATCATAACATAAAATCCATTTTTATGATCAAACTTTATTTTTTTAAAATTGAAATTATATTTAATTCCTATAAAAACAAAAGTAGTTTTTTCTTTTTAAATAAAAGTAGTTTCTTTAAGGAAAAACACTATTTTTTCCCCTCTCCAAATGGTACAATTAGATAATTTTGACCTACATAACAAAATTGTTATGGTAAATGAAACACTGTATGGATGGTGTTTTCTACACTAGGGAACGCTGCAAGCTCGGGACTGCCTAAATTTCTGGGTCACTGTTTTAGTTGTATTTTAAAGCCATTTGGCATCATTGTGTTTTGAGATTCTTGCAAACAATGTATTTGATTACTTATTACTTATGTTTACAATGCTAACAATATTTGTGCTTACAATACTAAAAGTGTTAACACTAACGTAAGATGGTGCACAGCTTGCAACACGAACAAACAGTAATAAACAAATGGAAAGAGCGAGAAAAGCGAGTTATTCAAAATCTAGTAACCATGTCACTTTTTTTAATAATAAATAACAAAATAACTAAAGCAAATTTTCACTCCAAACTCCCCAGAATTACATAATAACATTAATATCTTATGAAATACGGCAGATTTGAGCTCAGAAAATATCTAATTTATTTCTTTTATTGAAAATAAAATTATCTGTTTGAAAACATCGCCTATCAGAATAACATGTAGTAAGCAGCTGCAAACTTTTTAACCGGAACTAGAGTAGGTGCCGAGCTCGAGATTGTTATTGTTTACATTTCTATTGAAAACACCATCCATTTCAGCAGCCTTAAAATTTGTTTCAATAACAAAATATATTATTACAAAAACTTTTAACTATATCAAATTATGACAACATATGCACAGTGAAAGCAAAGAAAAACTTGAGAATAATATTTCACAAACCTTGATGGTTTTCTTTAGCCAATAGTTTATTATCATTCTCATCACCTGAATCTGAATAGTCATTTAAGGAGACTTTTTGAATGGGAATTTCTAGGGGTGCTTCATCATCATCATCTAACTCTATATTCAAAAAATACAACACAAACATTTCAGCTTGAATGATTAAAAAAAGTTTCCTTATTAATTAAGAAGTAAAACAATGTAAAAAGAATATTTGGATTTAAGATATATTTCTTTAATTTTATTTTATATATTTATTTTTTTGTTAAGATGCAAGACTTAATGTCGCTTATGGCAATTTTCGAACACTTTTCTTCATTCTATGACTTTTAATCTTACAGAAGATCCCCTCCAAACCAAATCAGGAGCACATATTAGATGTAATTAGATTCTCCTTTTTTTCTGACCATCAAAAATATATACTTACTTATTCCCTGGTACTAACAGCTTGTGTTGGACGTTACCTTCCTAACAATTGTACTCCAAAGCTATTTGTCTCGCGTTTTTGCTTTATACTTTATTTAAGATCTTGAGCTCTCTCTCTTAACCACATCAATCCATCTCTTTTCCACGTTTCCATTGACCATGACACTGATCAATAAAGATCTTTTTCCGTGCACCTGCTTTCATTGTTTCTTTCCATGACCATCGTATTTTTGCGTGATTTTAATACTTCAAAATACCCAAGTATCTTTGAACTGCTTTTGGATTTTATGATTTAGCAGTTAAATATCCTTCACCACACATCACCCTCTCTGACTGGTCCAAAATTGATTCTTACACTTTTCCCTTCTCAAGGAATTAACATTTTTTTAATTTTTTTGGGTCACGGTCACAGTTTTGTAAACTCTTAAGTTTTGTTCAACACATTATTACTTTAGATCTTATTAATTTCTGTAGTGCAAAAAAAAAAAAACTGTGGTTACCAGTATAAAGATTATGGTCGATTTCTGGTATCATATTATTTTCAGTTACAACTGAACTCAAATAATAAAACACTTTAAGTCTTACCATCGTTATTCTTATGTCCGGCATCTGTATTAGATTATTTACAATCTATAACCATGTATTTAGCATTTTCTAAATTTATTTCTTGTCCAAAGGAATAGAAGGAAATCAATGAAGGCCTTCTAGCACCTAACCATCAAAACAATATATCATCCGCAAAAGCAGAAACTTGCGTAGTTATATTGAAATTTTTTTTTTGATAACGTGTTATAGATAATTTTTTTTTTATTTCCAATAAATGAGACTTTAAAATCTATTTATAATATTTTTTTTTAAAAATTTCAATTCTTTTAAAGCACATATAATGCATTGTAATAATTAAACAATTGAAGTTTCAAAGAAAAAAGCAAACTAATGTTATCTCTTTATTCCTTTTTTGATATCATGATGAAATGATCACATACATAAAATATTTTTAGTTTAGAACAAGTAGGGAAAAAAGGAAAAGGTATCAAAAGTCCTATATACATTTTAAAGCTTTCTAAAAATAAATTAGCAATTATGATTCAATAAGATAATAAATTTAATTAAGACCATTTGAAGCAATTTTCAATAAATAATTGAAGGAATCACTAGAATGAACTTCCTAAGCTCCTTAACTCTGCATCTATAAGCAATAAAAGTGAATAAAATCATTGGATTTTTGCAACAGATGTTCGACAATTAGTTTTGGAATTACTTTTTGGATTATCAATTTTATACTCTTCTGTTTGCCAGTGTAGTTCAATAATTCTAGCTGAAGTAATTATAGTTTTTTTTTTTCTTTTCAGTCTCGTGTTCTTAAAGTTTATACAAAGTTGTGCTATTCTCTAACAAATCTGCATGCAATAAGTCGATATCACACAAGATCGAGAACTTAGCAAGAAAAAAAAGAGGGTGCTGGTAAGGGCAGAATTTATATCTCATTAACAAGATTTTGAGTAAGTAATGAAATTTAAGTTTTAGATTAGTGGAATTCTGAGAAAATTTTGCTGGAATATAAATTATTGATTGCCGAAATTCAGCGAGTTAAGGGTCTTGGGATTTGCGGAATTCTACTAATTATTAACGGAAAAATCCCATGCCTAAGAAATGAAAGAAATAGTATAATAGTAGCGGAAAAAATTTATAACAAATTTAAAACATGAACTTAAAAAAAAAGTATAACATGTACAGTGGAACCTTGATTTTACATTTTTCATAGAACTAGTGTTAAAAAACACAGAAAATGTTAGATCAGGGTACAAAAAGAATAAGTATATTTTTCAAAAATTGACACTTTAGAGATGAATTACTTGAAAAAAGTATGTAATATTTATATATTTTTTGTCTTAAGGTAAAATTTCAATAATATATCTCTCATTACTTTATTAAATTGATTTATGGTTTACATTTGTGCAAGTTTAAGAGATTTTAGGCTTTCAAACTTATAATTTTATGCTTTTCATGATCACCATTGGGAGTAGGCATTAAATCAGATATTGAAAAATAATGAATGATATGTGTGTTGAGGTCGATACACACGTCACTCCCCACGGAAGATCGTCAGACATGCAATTTTATTCCGAATGGCCATTGTTCCCACGGGATACCAAAAAGCTTCATTAAACCCATTTGTAATGGATTTTAGTCAACACTGCTAAATGCTGCAAAAATCAAATTCAAAGCTTCCAGATCATTTATAGTTACTTTCGAAGCATCTAGCAGGACACTGGAATCAAGAAAAGAAATGATTACCATACCAGTTGCTTAATGTAACGTTTAAATGATTTGATAATTCCAAGATTCAAAGGTCAAAGTCTGCTCGAAAAAATTCCACTCGTAAATTTTACAATTGAAGCTCCCATACTTCCCGTGCTTTGCCAATTCCATCACCTATCTGACATTGACTCAAGGGGGAAATCCCTTCTTAGATAAAAGGGCAATAAAATAGAATAGAAAGAATTTCAGAAAAACTACAAACAGCTATTAAACAAGTCTCTTCTTCTTTTTTTTTTTTTTAGAAAGAAAGGGAGAAAAAGAAAGAAAGAACTCAGCAAAAGTTTGTGCAAGCTTTGTAGATATAAAATGATTTTGAACTGTTAGAAAAACATATAAAGTGAGATTTTTTAAAAAAAAAATGGTAATGAAAAATTCAGGAAAATTTAACATTATCAGTATAGGCAAATTTGGCATACCAGCAGAAAATAACGAAGGGAGCGGCATAACATATGAAATGGACAACGTAAAACTAGGGTTCCATTGTATACTTTTATTTATCTAAATAATGAGATATACTTCTGTCATTAACTAAAATAATGAATAACCTTTCATATCTTGTTGATCAGTAGATGAATTAACTTGGTCTAATGATACTTCTAAAGTATGATTAATGGCTGCATCATCTGCCTCTAAAATAAAAAAAAGAAATATTAAGTACAAACATAAAATAATAGATTTATAGCACACTAATCTTTCATTTAAAGAATAAGAATAATATCAAATAATGAATGATAATAAACAACACTTGTATCATTTCAATATTCAGTTTATTATGTCATAAATATATTTATAAAGATATGCAAGGATGTCTTAAAATGTATATCCTCTTTCTAATGGGATTTGAAATTGTAAATAAGCATTAGGGTAAGAAAGCTATTTTAAATTTAAGACATTAATTTTTTGGTTTAAAAAAAAACACGTGTCTCCATTTATTTTAAACAATGAGATAATATATTATTGTTAATAAAAAATGTGACTGGAATGACATTTTTAGGAAGAAAAAAAAAACAATTTGCGGAAAAAATCTCATTTTTGTCTAATAAATTACATAAAAAATTTTATTTGCAAATTTTTTTCAGTATACAGGGTGACCTTATATGCGGATGACTTTATATCGAAGTCTGACTGTACTATTATTGTGGCTGATAAGCTGGCTACGTTTCAGAAAATCAGAATGGATTATGTTATGTCAAGCACTAACCAACAGATTTTTTTGGAGAATATAGCACTTTGGAGTGTTATGTTTTGATGATTCATCCTTCTTTAGTTCACACTAGAGTCTGTGATCCTGTAGTTCAAAATAAATGAAAATTCATGCTTCCAAACAGAATGGATTTCCTAAAGTTCCCCTTTCAATAAAATTAATTTTAAAAAAAAAATTTTATTACTTTTTAGAGATCACTATGATTTTTATAAGCAGATGAAGCATAAAAGTTTTTTATAACAGGAAAAAAAAACAGTAAAATATTAAACTAATGTTAAATAATAAGATGTTAAAGGAGACATATCCAATGTATAATATCTCTCCTTGATGACCTAACAATATAAATTTTTATTGGCAAATGATTTGTAAGAATATGTAGCTAGGAATAAGTCAGAGATTTAAAGCATTTTATTTTTTTCTAAAAAAGCATACCATCTTAAAATATGACAGATAAACACTGAAAGGAATTATTAGTATTTATAAACTAATTCGTGTTTTTAGACAACCACACAAAAGAAATCATATAGTAAGAAACGATCTTAAATCTAATCTTGGCCTAAAAATAAATATCTTAAAGTGATACACTCATATTTGATTTCAGTTCATATTAAATAAATTTTTAAAACTACAAAAAAAATTTAAAAAGAATAAGAATAATATTTTGTTAGTAAAAATTTTTAAAATATACAGGGAAAAAAAATCATACTCTAATGACAGTTAATACTAAGAAAAAGTCAATCTAAAATAGAATAAAAAAAAGAAAAAAACTTTATATTGTACTTTCAAGTCCTGCATCAGCTAAACCTCCAATTTCAATACCATCATCAATAGATAAATGCTCATATACATTTTTCATCCCTCTAAATTTAGGTAGCTTTGTAGGACATCCACCCTCACCATCTGAGCCTGAGTCTTGAGCTAGATCAATTTCAGGAGCTCTTTGGAAAGGATTCCTAGGTCTCCTCTTGCGATTACTTCGATCACGTCGATTGAAGGAGTTGTCTTTATTTCTGTCTTCAAATCTACGTTTTCTAAATCTCCTAAAAAATATTGAAAACTATCTTAGAAATTGAAAATCACACTTAAAATAACACTAATATTTAAGACATGTTAATCAACATCAATAAAAGAAAAGATAAATTTTTAAAAGTTAGATGAGATTCTGCTTCCTTCATACTAATATATGTAGAATTACATAATTATAACTTCCTTATTTTGTAAAGAACAAATAAATTTTAACACATTATATGTTTTCAGGAAACCTGAGAAATTTAAGGTAAAACAAATGTTTTGATTTAAGTTCTCAAGCCAACTGAAAAAGATGAAAGCAAAAAACTTGGCAAAAAGAGCTTGGCATTAATTATAATTTTAATAAATAATTAAAACCCATTCACACAAATTGTAAGTAAAAAAAAATCAAATGTTAGTTACAGAAAAACAAAGAAGTAGAAATGGCTAAAAACCTCTTATTGTCTATTTTTTTTTTTCATTCTTTTTCACAAAGTCGTTCAAACATGATGTCATTACTAAACATGAATTTTGAATTAGAATTATCATTTCTTAACGACTTTAATTCACAATTTTCTTCTGTTTCATACTATTCTTACATATTATGTAAAAGAAATTTCATCCAGTTTCTTTTTGCTTGCTTTTAAATTTCTAAAAAAATTTACACTATCATATTTAAAGAAATTTATGAGTTTTAAAAGTATAAACTAACTGGAATATTTATCATCATATATTTTAGAATAAAAAGATTTTACAAAAGGGCATTTTTGCATATATGTTTTTAGAAAGCCCCAATTCCTAACCTCATTTCTTCTTCAATTGATCATGAAAATTGAAGCACAATGAAAAATATTTTAAGAATTACCCATTTACCCATGATCTTTTTCTTCAATTACTTCTCCACGAGCTTCCTTTTCAGCCTGTTCGGCTTTCTTTTTCAGGATATTTTCAGCAGTAGGAAAACGCCTATTAGTGTGAAAAGCAAATAAGATTGCAATAAATAAATAAAACAACACAATTCAAAAACTTAAATTAAAACCTTAAAAAAGTAAAATTAAAAATTTTTTTAAAGATTTTTTTTTTATCTGTTGTGCTATATTGTTTATTCTAATGATACAAAAAAGCTGTGTAAAAAAATATTTTTAGTAATAAAATGGAAACTTAATGCTTCATAGAACATACACTGACGGAAAAAAAATCACAACAGCAAGAAGGAGTCACACTAGATGAAATAAATTTGGTGGGTTTGCTAATGTAACTAATAGATAATATTCATTCAAATTTTGCACTTAGTGCATAAGTTTGGTGCCACTGTGAACATGCAAATCAGAATTGCTGTACACATGTGTTCTACAGTTCTTATTTTCAGTTGAGCGCAAGAAGGTGGATTTTCTTTTCCCGATATTGTAGAAAGACAGGGGAGAAATACATCCACTGTGCATGATTGTTGTCAGCAGTGGCCAAAGGAAGGCACAGCTTCAAGAAGACCGGGTTTTAAGTGACCATGAGGCACTACTCATAAGCAAGTCCGTCATATATGGCATACGACAGTGGCGCACCGTACTACGTCTGCCTCAGAAATTCAAGCTACATTTGGCACTGCAGTGACACAAGGAATGTTTATAAATCGACTACTTCAAATATAGCTCCGAGTGAGACACCTTGTAGCTTGCAATCCACACATTTCAAACCACTGCCGTTTACAATGTGAGTGGTGTCAAGTTAGAGTTCACTGGATGACATAGTGAAGATCTATTGTTTTCTGATGAAAGACAGTTCTGCCTAGGTGTCAGTGATAGCCGTTTATTAGTTAGAAGGAGGACAGGTGAGCACCTGCTAACCGAACTGTCACCAGCCTAGACATACTAGACCTACACCTGGAGTTATGGTTTAGGGAGCACTCTCGTGGTTACTCCATGCACCTTGACTGCAAATTTGTACGTCAACCTGGTGATTCAACCTGTTTAGTTGCCATTCATGAGCTGCATTCAAGGGGGTATTTCTAAACATAATAACATTTGCCCTCATACTGCTGTTGTAACCCAACATGCTCTATAATATGTAGAAATGTTGCCTTGGTCTGCTAGATCACCAGATCTTTCCCCAATCGAGCACGTATGGCATATCATTGGACAACAACTTCTGAGTCATCCACAGCCAGCATTAACTATGCCCATGTTGATTGACCAAGTGCAACAGACATGGAACTCTATCCCACAAAAGGACATATGACTTTTTCTGGTGAATGCCAGAGAAGCAATTAAAACTATTGGTTCTTTTGTAATGCAAAATAAAAATTCCAATTATTTTTCGGTTACAAATCAGATCATAAGTCAGAAGACTTTTGGAAAGCATGTGCAAATAAGAAATCTAAACAGCAAGTTATAATCAATTAATTTTTCAGTTATAATAATCCTTCTAATTTGTGCAATAAGTTAGTTTACTCCTCTAAGTTAGTTACTTTTCAGTAATTTTATTTGCTTCTACAGAAATAAAAAAGAGAGCACCAAAAGTAAGTTCACATTTTGAATGTCGTCTGAACTATAATATTTTTTCTTCCTTTATATCTTAGTTTAATTTTTGAAAGTAGCTGTGTTTATTATGTGATGCAGAGAAGTTGTATAAAATGTAAAATAAAATAAAAATTCATTGAAATGAAATATACATTAATGTATATTCATAATAGAAATTTAAGATTAAAAAAGACAAATAGTTAGCAAATATAGATAATAAAAAATGCTTGTGTATTGTACGATTTTTATCAAAAAAAATTCTACACTGTTAATGTAAATGACTTTTAGCATGAATAAATTTTCTGATCCCCTTCGAGTTGAAGTTAACGAGGTTCGACTGTTTATGTAAACAGGCTTCGAAGAATTTTTTAAAGTAAGCAAAATACTTTTTAATACCTGAAAGAAAAGAAAATTTAAAAAAAATTCTACTGATCAAAAAAATACTCAAATTTCTGCGCTATTTTTAATAATATTCAAATTACACAAAAAGCTTACTGTCAAAACGGGCAATATGAAAAGGTGAAATTATATTAATTCATATGTTTGTGGATCACCAACTTGAAAAGGACTGTTTTGAAAATAAAATAAGAATTAAAAAGGAGAATGGAATTTATTTTCGTAAGTAAAAGAAGAAAGCAATATAATTATATTTCTCTTTCTTTTTGATTTGCAGTTTTTTAGATTCGTAACATATGAGGAATTCAAAATAAAAATGTAAATAAAAAATGTACAGAATGTAAATATTTAAGGTGATGAGAAGTGAACTTTTAACAACACTTAAATTAACCAATCAGCTTATTTTAATATGCCTTTTATCACATATTTTCTGTTGATTAATGATATTTTTTCAATCGTTTGTATCTTTCATTTCTTAAAGGAAAAAACACACAAAATTTCTAAATTTAATTTATAGTTATGATGATACTGCTTTATTCATATGGACCATTTAGATAACTCAGAAAATTTCCGTTCTTCAGAAACTTTCTTTCTGATAATCAATAGCTGTTTTTAATCTTTTTCGTAAGTAATAGAAATTTTATATTAAAAAAACATAATAAAAAATTTAAAAGCAAACATGACATAGAAAAGTACACACATTTTTTTTTTTTGAATTCATATTTATCAGTATAATTAAATACACAAAATACAAACTAAGAGAAATATTTTTAATTACAGAGTATAACAACTTTTGGTTATGAAAATTGATTTCAAAATGTATAAAAAATTACTGTGGCAAATCAAAGTAGTTGATCACTACTTATCATATCTGCCTTTTTTAAAAATCCTCTTATAAGAATTTGAAATTCAAAAAAATAATAATAATAATTTAATCAATTCAATAATATTTTAAAAGAAAAGATTATTCGCAATTTTACTTCTTCAATCACTTGTAATTTAGTCAAGGCTCTTTAATTCACCAGAGTAAGGAGACAGCTGATTTAAATCCTTTAATTCTCAATTAAAGATATAAGAAAAAATATATAATTGACTAAATTGCTGATTTTTGAAAATGTGAAAAAATAATAAATGAAATAATAAGTTAACGCTCATGAAAGAAAGTGTGTTATGTTAAAAAATAAAATCGGTTGAAGGAAGGATGAATGAGAGCAATTCCAAAGCATTAATTACTAATTTTCATCTAAAAAAAGTATTTCATAATTAACTGTGTTTTTAACAGAAAATTGCAACAAAGAAATTAAAGGGGGAAAAATTGATTCCATCCCTTTATACAATTGCCCTTTTTAGAAAATGAAAATAGACAAAGTATGTTCTTTACGAAAAAGGATATGTTAGACACTTAACATATTTTTCACAAGTGCCGGATATTCCATTCATTTTGCATTACCAAGGGAACACTTATGGAATGAAAGCACAGAGACAATCAGTCTATATACTCGACAATAAACCAGTCTGTAAGATTTACAGCATTCTCACCAAAATATACGTTTCATAAGAAAACACATATACAGACAAAACATCCAGATCATTTTGAGGGTGTATGCTTACTGGCTTTGTACAATGTGTAATAGATCGTTTTGGCTCATAACAAAACTAAAAGTTGTAAAAAGAAAAAATCCTAAATGCCAAACTAATAATAATGTAGGAATAAAAAGTAAACAAGAAAAGAAATATTCTTTCAACAAGTTGAATTTTAATGTCCAATTTTAAAACAATTTTCGAATTTATAAATGGCTCCCTATTCTTCTTCAAAACTAAATTTTAGATGAAAGGAAAACCTATTGTCCTTAAGGTAAAAGACTTTTTATAATTAATGAGAGTTAAAAGTTAAATATTTTACCTTTTCCTCTCTTCTCTCCATTTCTTTATTTCTTCATCATTCTGTAATTTATTTATAACATCGGCATATCCTGTATCATGTTGCTAAAAGGTTCAATTTAATAAACTTTTATGAGCTACACTTATTATTTTTAATGACTTTTAAAATGAGAATTTTTTGTATCAAATGTAAACATAATTATCAAATAATTTTAAAAAAAAGTTCTCATAATTATTCTCAGTCAATAGACTATCTACTAAAAATAGAGCCATGTAAGTAACTAATTTTGCTCTCTAAAACAGGTCAAACACATTCACCGTATATCAAACTCATTGAAATTTAAAAAAAGAGCAAAATTTTAATTCTCACATTGAATAACACTTCGTTAATGGCTCCTTAAAAAACATTTATAAAAATTTTGAAAAATCAAAAAGGAGATAAGCATTTGCAAGTTAAAATAAAAATGCAAGCATGTAAATAAATAATTCTGCAGGGTAAAAGCATTTTAATTAATTGGCATTAAATAATTTGGTGATCTGCTTGAATGAGAAATATGAACATTTATCCATAACTCAGAATGATAATGCAGTGGTTAATCATTAAGAGAATTCACTAAATAATAATCTTTTTTTAAACATAAGAGAATAATATTCAAAAATTAAATACATTGATAGACAAAGTAAATACTCTTGCCCTCTGAAAAACAGCAATTTTAGGGTTATGATGATGCTGTCCATTAATGTGTTAAAATGCATATAAGTTCATCAAAGAATAAAACAGTAGGGAACCGATTATCCAGAGGAATCGGGACCATGGCTATTCCGGATAACTGATTTTTCCGGTTTTCTGAATCGCTTCAAAAAGCCGTTTTTTTATTGTTAAACACCCAACTAAAAAAAAATTTTTACAAATTGGAAATAATCTTAGAAAGAAGAAAAAACGATGAAGTAATACGCTAATGATTATTTCCAAAATGATGGTAAGGTAAACATCTTTCAAAAAGGAAAGAAAAATTCTAAAATCTTATGAGGAAAAAAAAAATTTTTTTTTAAAAAAATGGCGTGAAAATTTGTCAAATTTTGTTCCGGTTTTTTGGTTCTCTGATTTCTGGATAACGGGTTCTGTACTGTAGTTAGAATTGCAAAAGCAAGTTTTCTTTACTGAGTTTAGCAAACGAGAGATTCAATTGTTTGAAAAGTTAAAAAACAGGGAGAAAAAGTAATGAAAATATTCTTCCCCTAAAATCTGAAAATTTATGAATACCCAAGTAAATACAGTAGAAGATAAAACATCAACAGATTGTGACTTTGCTGCCTGTTTATTTGTGAATATACAAAGTTCACATAACCAAATCAGGCTGCACAACAACAGTAATATCAACCATATTATNATAGCGGGGAAATTTATCGAATTTTGTTCCGGTTTTTTGGTTTTCCGATTTCCGGATAACGGGTTCTGTACTGTAGTTAGATATGCAAAAGCAAGTTTTCTTTACTAAGTTTAACAAACGAGAGATTCAATTGTTTGAAAAGTTAAAAAACAGGGAGAAAAAGTAATGAAAATATTCTCCCACTAAAATCTGAAAACTTCCAAAAACATATGAATATCCAAGTAAATACAGTGGAAGATAAAACATCAACAGATTGTGACTTTGCTGCCTGTTTATTTGTGAATATACAAAGTTCACATAACTAAATCAGGCTGCACAACAACAGTAATATCAACCATATTATACTGCAGTCGAGTTCCATATTCACAGTAAACAAAAGGTATAATTAACTAAAACGGACACATGAAAGAATAAAATTTGAAATAAAGATTGAACAATTTGAAAGAAATATACTTGAATTAAGCATTATTATGCAACTCCAATATGATGGTGAAATAAAAATTCATAAAGTAAAATTTTAAACGATAAATAAATATATACAAAAATTTTTAAATAAAATACATGAGCTTTCATGGAACTAAATAACTAGGCACTATAAATATAAATTACTCCAATGAGTTTATATTATACAGCACTTAATTGATTAAAAATTTAAAAAGTTTATTCGTTACAGAAAATGCATGACAATGAGAATCTAAATTCATATAAAAATGTATTCCATAAAAATTAAAACAGAAAATGAAAATACGAGAAAAATACTCCTGCCATTTAAAAAAACTTAACTATGTTTATACTGTTGAAGCTTGTTAATGCTATTTACTGTATACACAGCACTTTAGAGGTTTGATTAATTGATTTTTCTTCCATAACAAGCCATTGATACTTAAGAGATTCTTACGTGCTACAGAAAATAAAAAGTGGGGGGGGGCAAAAGAAAGTTACAATGCATCTCCATCATGGAAAATAGAAAGATGGGGGGGGGATAGCACATGGGAAGATTTTTATGTAATCAAAATTAAATTTTTCTGCTGTGATGAAAATAGAACGAGAAAATGAAAATAATTTTTAGTTGCATTAATAAAGAAATTTGGATTCAAATCTGTTGAATAGGTATTATTACTGAATGAATCAACAATCACACCTTTTTCCTTAACATAAAATATTTGTTTTTTATGTATATTTTTAAAGTATGAATTTGCAATATCTAAAATAAGGACTCACTCTCAGTAAAAAAAGAAACAAGAAATTTAGAAGTCCTGGGTCCAAAGGACATGGGATTTCTAAAGTCTAGCAGAATCACTACAGTAGTTATTAGAAATAAATTTTACGAAATCAAACAAAATTACTTGGAAATTCCTCTGAATCATTGGTTTGCAATTGTAATATATCATTGGTTTGCAAAAATATACTACTCTCTTTTTCTCTATGCAACAATAAATAAAAAAATTATTATCAAATAAAAGAATAAACTACCTTAATATAGAGAGGGGGGGGGGAAACTTAGGTAGTTCACAATTTTGATTACAAATACATAAATAATTTACATATGAAGTAAGTTTTATGTATAAATAATTCTACCTTGCAAAAATAAGTATATTATAAGAGTGTACTACAATTATTTTAAGCTAGATAATTGGCAAAAAACTTCTAGCAGAACATAAGAAAAGAACGATTTGTCTCAAAAATACATCCCCAAATCTGCCAGCTGCTATGCTTTTTGTAAAATATTTTATACAGTGGTTTAAGAACCAAAGCTTTCAAACATTTTGGTAATTTTGTTAACATTTTAAAGATATCACCACGGTGAAGCTGCATATGACCTTTAAAAACATTTATTTGTAGTGGTGAGGAAAATAAGTTTAAATTAATAAAAAATAATACATTAAAACATATCACGGCTACCACTAGGATAATTTTTAACAAAAAGAGTAGAAAGTTGGCAGCTCTGTGATACAAAAATTGAATTTTATGAAAAATTTTACAATAATGTGGATGGTAACATGTAATGGTGATTTCCAGTCCCAAAGTTACTTTTCTTAGCAGTTATGGAGATAATTTCCTGCAGTACTCTCTATGAAACATAACTATCATTTAATTTTTTAGTTCACATCTTCTTCACACAATATAAAAAGATTCAACAGATTTAATTCTATAAAAATAAAAGCCAAGGTATGTAAAAATAATTAAGTTTAGTGACATTAAATTATAAAATATTCTAGTGGAAAATTGTTTTAAAATTAATGATAAAAAAAATATATTTATTAACACAAAAAAAAAATAAACTGCCAACAAATTAAAAAAAAAAAAGAAATATTACCAGAAAAGTAAAAAAACTACGAAAATCATCATGGAATTTCAAAACCTTTCCTTAGTTAACCTTAAAAGTCTTAGAAATTATGGTAAATCCACCATTGGGATCACTGAAATAGAAACACTAGTGAAAATAAAATAATCCTATATTAATGCTAGAAAATGTATTAGGAATTAAAATTAACTATAAAACTCTCTTTCATCAAAATACATTTCCTCACTTCAAATATAGCTGAAAATGAAAATTAAGAATTATATAATGAAGAAAAAAATATATTTGTAAAGGCTCTTACCATTCTTTGGTGGAGACTTACAATTTTCGGATGGGCTTCAAAGATACAACCCTGATAATGGCACTATAAAAATATATATAGATAGATATAGAAATATAAAAATTAAAACCGATTAAATTAGCTATTCTGTAATTTTTCAAAAAGGTAGTATAATTAAATATAGTGACCTTGTAACACTTAGAAATTTATTTGTTTGCACTCAAGGCACTAGAAACAAATAATAAACTAAGTAGTGATAAAAATATCTGTGATAAAATAAACTCATTATAATTAATACTATGTAACAAAAAAAAAGTTAATGTCAAAATAAATCTTGACATCAAAATGCTTGCAGATATCATTATCTTTACTTATCTAATATGAAGTCACTGATAATTTTAGAATTATTATCAGCTAAAATTAGGTTAACTAGACACATGTAGGAATTGATTAATTGAGCTGGCTTAAATGATCAAAGCAAGTACTGAAAAAAATGTGAGTTTAATTACATTATTTCAATGAAAAAAAATTAATTTAGAATGTTTTAAGAATAAATAAAAGGATTAAAACTAAAAATTAAGGTACCTAGATTTCTCTAAGAATTAAGAAAGAAATTAGTCGATTAACACAGTAACACAGAAGTTAATGGAAGTAAACACAGAAGATCTCATGGCACAAGACATCTCATGGGTAAAAGATCTTAATTGCTCTTAGATAAGTATCATAAAAATTCATAACAGAAATAAATTTTTTTTGTTTAATACTTTGATAATTTAAGAAAAATAAATGGCCAGTAATTATGAGATTTCATATAATATAATTTCCAGTAGGTTACATGTATAATATTATTATACTTAGGGATCACACCAGTAACGAAAATAGGACCCACCAAGGTATTCATTTAGCAGTTCAAAAATTTAACATGACAGACAAACTTCTAAAGAAAATAAATCGAACTTTGCGATCACATAATTCCTTTTTGGTACCCATCAAAAAATATTAATTGCCATCTATATTATTCCGATTTGCACTTTGAATCAGATTATTCCATAAAACAACTCAGATTATTCTTGATTATTCCATAAAACAACTCAGATTATTCTTGATTATTCCATAAAACAACTTACAACACACAAAATGATTTATTTTACTGTTCTATTTACAAAAATATAAAATCCATCAATAAAACCTAAAACATTCAAAGATACAAAATGGTACAAAGATAAATATATTAATGCTCAAAAATAAATAAATATAAACTTAAAGTTCTTTTTGTTTTTTCACCACAGAACACTCTCAAAAAAGCAAAACAAATCGTTACTATAGCAACTTAATTTTATGAACTAGATCAAAGTTAAAAATTAAGCAGACTATAATTCTCAATCTATATAACTATAATAGCTAATTAGGTTCAGCAATCCATAATGATTGAAGATCATTTGGCCATGCAGGCGTGAACCCTAATTATAGTTGTAACTAGTCAGTCTGGTCATTGTAAGTACAATTGCAACTTGAAATACGTTGATTTAAAGTGCTTGTTTTAAACACAATGATATAAAAGCAACCTTATCAATAAGTAGCACTTCTAAATTTAGCTTAAAAAGAACAGACCATAAACTAGTACATTTGTTAACTGTTTTTTTTTTTTTTTTTTTTTTTTTTTTTTTTTTTTTTTTTTTTTTTTTTTTTTTTNTTTTTTTTTTTTTTTTTTTGCTAAGTGATATGTTGTAACAAATCTCAAATCCTTTTCATTTTTACTTATACGATTTTAAACAAAAATTCTTTAAAATATATTCTATTCTAAACAAAATATTCCATTAAAAAAACATAATCAAAAGCAATAAGTCCTCGTATCTATTTTTACTGAGCTTATAATGTTACTTTCTTTTTATCTTAGAAAAAAATTATTTAATAAAATAAAATTGCAATTAAAAAATTTACTGGCAAGTTACACAACTTTTTCAGTTACGGGAAAGCAGCAAAAATAATAATTATAAAAAAATTGACAAGATGGTTGATTTGGTTTATGTTTGTAACCTTACATACATTTTATTAAATCTATTCTATCATGGAATATGGTAAGGAACGTTTTTTTTTTCTGTTACACTTAAAACACAATAAAACCAGAATTTTCAGAAAAACTGACATGTAGAAACTTTTCTTGTCACAACCAGTTCATAGCCACATCCGTACATTATTTGTAATTCATAACAGTTCAAACTATATTCTGCATATTTACTAAATTAGATTCCTGATAAAAGGTATTCTTACAACAATATCAGGGGTCTGTCTAGGTTTTTCTGAGGTACCTATTTTGTGAAAATTTAAACATAATTTGCGAAAATTAAAAATTATATAAAAAATCAACACAAAAATATGAATTCAATGTTTTTTATGGGATAAAAAAATAAAATTTTAAGAAAAAGTATTTTGTGAAATGATCGTTTTTCTTAAAGTTGAATTTGTGAAGGTACCGCTAAACAATAGTACATTTGGCCTGGACAGACCCCCGAATATGCATGTACATTTATTTAAAAAAATACTATGGTAAATTAGACAATTGTTGAATTAAAATAACATTGAAGAAAATAATAAAATATAAAATTTGCATATTTCCTCATATACATATAAATACATTAAAATTATAAAGTATTTAATAAGCTTAAATATAGTAGTTTTTGAAATATTTTTAAAAAAAATAATAAAAACACTCACTTTTATATGCAATGCCATATGTGATTCCAGTTCATCATTTGAACAAAAACCTCTGTCACAGGTGTCACAATTGAAAGGAAGTTTTTTCCCTTTGTCTTGCCATACTTTTGGCTAATAGTATGAAAGAAACATAAATAATAATTAATCTAAAGTTATAAAACTAAAATTAAACAGTTGCATTGGTTGACCACTTAACATTGACTGTAACAGGGGTGGCGAACCTTTATACACCAACATGCCATTTTTTCTGAAAAATTGTTTAATGAAATCACAGATGCGCCGTCAAATAATTTTGACTTCATGATTATTGGGAAAATACTAATACTAAATACTATCAACTCAAAACTCTTTATTTACATTGAAAAGAAAATACATTTTGAAATGTCTCAGTTATACGCATAATTCAACTTAAAGTAGCATCAGTGGGACTTTTGTTATTGCAGATTAAATGACAAATAACTTATAGGTTGTAAGATATTAGTTTAAGCAGGACAGTTGGTTTTTTTGCTGGTTATTTATTGTTAGCTTGTGTTTTATGGTTATTAATTGTTTTTCAGCATTAATTGTTAATTTTTTTAATGATTATCTATACTTTTGCATTGTGTGTGCAAATTGTCTACTTTTCTTGTCTTTCTCTTTTCAGAATGAAAGTTCTCTCATGAAATCATGCTCTAATAAGAAAGTTAATACAGTTTAACATAAATAATAAAATATCTTCATTTAAAAAATCTAAAGATTGACTTTGTTTAGTAGCTTTTAATGATATGCACTTTCTGCTTATCTTCTTCGGTAACTGCTTAAATTTCAGTCATATTCTACATGAAATGATCATTTAACAGAATAAACTTATGAAGTATTTCATTATAAGCAAATCATTTTACATGAATCTACAAACCATGGCAAAAAAAAGATTCTAAAATAATTTCAGAATTACATTAAATTGAAATAAAGAAGTTTAAAATAATCAAATATTGCTTTACTAAGACAGTGTTTTCACTACAGCGCGAGAATCTCGCATATTTATTTCTTTTCTCGCATAAAAAAATGATTAATGCGAGAAGTTCTCGCACTCTATTAATGAATTTCAAAATGAGCGAATCTCGCAAATTTTGGAAAAAAATTCATCTTCCGCTATTTAAATTAAATCCTCCGTTTCACCTTTCTTCCTCTTCCTTGATCTTTCCGTATTTTCAACATCGGTCCTTGTTATCAAACTTTCCAATTTACCAGTATTGTCCAGAACCAGTGCGAACAGCAGAACACAATGCCCCTCCCCCTCCCGGAAACCCTTTCAGAACACATTTCTCTGCAACCACATGTTAACCATAGGTAAGGTTTCTTCATTTAAGACATTTAAATTTCTTGTGCTTGAATGTAAGTTGGACAAATACCTTGTTAAGGCAACATTTTCTAGTCCGTAATGGACAAATGAAAATGAAACAAATGTCGGTAGGAACGGTCAAAACAAAACAAATACGGATATTCAACGGTTATGGATCAAATACTATCATGAAGTATGAACATGAAAATAACTTCTTTATTCTATAGCATAAATAATTGAAAAACCTATGCGGGCAGGTGAAGAGGATAGGAAAGGGCGTGCACAATGCTACAAATTTACTTAGTGCTTCAGAATAGTTCAGCATCTGTTGCACCCAAAACCGAATTAAGACAAAATATACTAACAGATTGACTGATAAGCATTTGAGCAACCTAATGAGAATAGCTGATGAAAAAGTAGATATAGAACATTTTCCATATGATGATGCAGCAAAAATATTCAATGCTTTAACAATTAGAAGATGTTAAGCTTAAAAATGAAATATTTATTTTCCAAGTCTATTCGTGTTTTTTTTTCATTTTTAGAAATCTCACATAACTTTTTTAAATCTCACCCACTTTTTGGAGAAAGGGTGATAAATTTTCACCTACTTCTTTTCTGTAATGAAAACACTGTAAGAACATTTATAACAAAACAAAAAAAAAAACACTTACAGCGTTTCTTTTTGGCTTGTGAGTTTGATTTTTATTATCTAATTTAGCCTGTCTTATTTCTTCATTAATTTCATATTTCAATTTATTGTACTCATCCCAAACTGCTGGATCATTGGTGGCTCTCGCTTGTTTAAATAACATATTTCTTTTATGGAGGGCCTTTTGAATATCTTCTGTCATCCAACCCTGTTAAGAAAAAAAAAATTATAATAATTTATTTTATGTTAGAAATTTATTTAATTATTTTAACAATGTAAACACATTTTGAAATATCATTGAAACAGACAATAACTGCCTGTTTCTTCTTTCAATATAGGTGGTCTTTTGAAAAAAAGTAAAAAAAAACAATATGAAGGTAAAAAAAAATAACCAAAAATACTTAGTTACGAATCTAATTCATATTTCTTCGTTATAGTATAAAAGATTTAATTTTGTTTTCAACTGAAGCAAAAGGTAGTTTATGTTTCCATTGACATTTCTATTGATTTCTTAACATCATCGATTTCGTAACAGTAAAGCTCATTAAGATGATAACGTTCATATTACCAAAAATATTTATTTATTCAAAAAATCAATAGGTGTTTAATTTTTTTTTCTTCTCAAAGATCCTTAATGGAACAAACAAGTCGGGGCGCTGGCAAACCATTGTTTATAAAATTGGCCTGTTCCAGAAGGGGTGGAAATTCTGCACCCAAAAAATTCTTAAAGCCTAATATTTTCAAACAGCAGTTTCTTTTTAGTTTAAAACTTCACCCAAAATTTTCACTATTAGTATTAATAGCACTATTTTTTTAAGTTACACACATTTTCAAAACGTTTTTAGAAAGTCAAGTTTGCACACTGTTAAACATTTTCGGCTTAACTAAGAAAAAGATTCGTTTGATTTTTACGAATTTCTTGAATGATTTTGCTTATGAATTATTAAACTTTATAACATTTTTACGTGTAACCGAAATCAAAATATATTGAGACATTAATAAATTTACAGTCATACTCATAAAGAACGTAAATTAATGAATTTAAATACATTAATAAATAAAATTACCTGTGTTAATTACATTTAACATAAAAGAATATATTATTTTTCAGCAGGTTGATATGTCATAGGGAATTTAAAAATAACCACCCTGTATTTTTTGCCTGAAACCAAGAAAGATAGGAAACCAAGAAAATAAAAACTCATGTCATCACTATAAAAGCTTTGAGCATAAATAAACAAGCAACACATTAAATTAAATTTTTGATATTCAGTTACTACATCATTAATAAATTTAAGCACAAAATAAATATCAAAATATGAGGAAAAATATAATTAAATCAAACCAGACTCTCATATTTTATGTTAAATACTGAACTAATAGCGATAAGTAGGTATTGTTATTCTTTAATCAAAACAAAACTTTATTCCTTAGAACCTACCATTTTATACTCAGAAGCATTAATACTGGATTCAGGATTGATTTTTTGCAAATTCTCAAAAATTCTTTTGTTTCTTTGGTGCTTCTGTGGAGAATTTTTACTATCAATTGATTCGGAATCTGAAATAGTAAACTCCGGAATAGTAGAGCTAAAATTAGACCCAGGATAGTTGCTTGATTGAAGGAGACTAATATTTGTAGGTTTTACTTCAACACCATCTTTATTAGATACAGCACACACATCTATTAAATTCTGATTATTGGGTAGAAATGGTGGATTTTGTTCTTCGCAATAATTAGGTTTCTCTGATCTGTAACTACTTGCACGATAGTCCCTGTTTTGGTTGAAATTATTATTGTGAAAATTCCTTTTTTGTGCCTTGCTTTCATGGAATCTATTTACATTCTTATGATTTAAATCATTTGTAAAATGATGATGCTTGTTTTGATTCTGAAATGAATTATTACATTTTGGTACAGAATCCCCATTAATTGGAATAAAATTACCATTATGCGGTGAATTAAACTTTTTGGAGAAATTCATATCACCCTGATTCATGGGAATTTCATTGGCCACATTTGAATCATGAACACGAGCATGTAACATATTATTGCTTTCAGCCACATTAAAAATAGCACTGGGATTTTGAAAAATGCTTGCATCGGGTACGTTTGTTTTTTGAATTGGATTCCAGGAATTTTCTTGCGTCAAAGCAATTGAATTCTTATTGGCATCGAAATTATTCTGATTTCTTCCCAAATGGTTCATAGACGGTGGAGGTGCATTATTTGAAGAATTATTACCAGACCAAGGTAAATTGTTTGAAGTGTTATTACCAGACCAAGGTAAATTGTTTGAAGTGCTATTACCAGACCAAACTAAGCTACGACTCTGATTATCTATCATAGGGGTATGATTTACAGGAGGTGGAGGTCTGTAAGGCTCATTGTTTGAAGAATTATTATTAGACCAAACTGAGCTACTATTTCCATGATGCTGAGAGGTAAATGATTGAAAATCCGATCTAGCTGGTGTTTGAAGGGCGGTTTGATTTTGGGTGAAATTATTTTGTTGATAATTTCCAGTAGAGGAGTTGGGTGCAACAGTTAATAACCCATTATAATTGTTTTGTGGATGATTACTTGAATTATTCCAAACTGAAGGCTGATTGTTTTGAAGTGGAGGTGGAGTTTGAAAACAACCAGTAATTTGGGTATTTTGCACATTAGGTATCGGAGGTGCACTGGTAAAATTCTGATTATTAATCATTGATAAATTCATTGGTTTATTATTCCACATTGTTTGCACAGTGTTCTGAACTAATCCAACAGCAGATGGTGGCGGTAAATTATTTGGAGGTATTACATTGAACGGCAATGGTGAAGGATTTGTTTGAGGCACGTGCATTCCGGCATTAAACATGTGCTGTGGAATCGGTGATGGATTCATTGGATGCGATTGGAATCGCGCGGGTACACTGGGATAGTTCGGAGGAGGCATATTAGTATTTACGATACTCGGATTAAAAGCCATGGTAAAATTAACAGTCTAATTCACCAACGCATATATTAGCAGAAGGTAAACAAAAATGTGTAACTGTTTTGATTTTTGTTTACATGACACAATCACGGTTATAGACAAAGATATATCGTGATTGCTGAGGCAGCCGAGAGAAAAGTATGCGTAAAGCCAAGGAACTATTCTTGCTGCACCCAAGATAATCGGGCTAATTATATTGCGCCAATCAATTCATCTTTGAAGTCCGGTGGTGCGTGAACTTAAAATATTCATATTGCTTCTGGATTGGCTCAACTGTTTCGCTTACTGCATTCGATTGAAGCATCCACGATCACCATTGTGATAGAAAATATAACCTGATCGGTGAGTTTTTATCAAGAGAATATGTAATCCTCTATATAACGCAGATGCCTCTTCAACGATGATTCATTTGAATTGTAAATGTCTTTCCCACCTGTATAAAATTAAAAAAATTTTAAAAATCATTTCTAATTATTAGACAGAATACAAACCCGAGAATATTTTCCAAGTGTGAAAACTATTACGGTACAGTACTCTTATTTACATCGTGCTAGTGCTGCACAATGGGCTATGCTATGGGCGACGGTCTGNCTTTCCCCATTAGCGTGTGGAAAGTCATAGAGGAAGGAAGTACGTTAACTTCTCTCTTGATTTTCATATAGATTAAAATCTTTTAAGTTGGAAAACTATATGGAACTGAAAATTACGCTAAACATAATTCTAAAGAAAAGTATCACAGAAATTTGAAAAAAATTTTTTATTAAATAAAAAGGAAAAATATTAAGAAAAGGGAAAATATCGTGGTACATTCCTATACAACTGAAAAAAGGAGGAGAGGGAAGGGAGAAGGGCTAAAGCCATGAAACCGGTCTCTTCCCAGATGGCGTATTCGAGTGTTGCGATCGCCAATACAAATCCGAGAATATTTTCCAAGTATGAAAACTATTACGGTACAGTACTCTTATTTACATCGTGCTAGTGCTGCACAATGGGCTATGCTATGGGCGACGGTCTGGGAAACATTCCTCAGGATGATCCGGAGACAGCATACATACGTCACAACTCGTTTTACAGGGAGAACACACACGCACGCGCCTTCCAACTAGAGTAAGATCAATCTCTGATACTCTGATGTAGTACCCTCAGAGGTATGATTTGTTATGGGAACTTTGTGAACCCAAGAGATTTAGCGTACAATAGTCACCCTTTTGTCACCGGCCGGTGGGGATTGAACTTACGACATCTCGGATATGGGCCCAACGCCCAACCAGCTAGGCTATCCAGTCCCAAACTATTAAATATAACTTATGAATAAAATTGAAACTCAAGGGAAAATCCATGAATTATTCATTGAACTAATGGAAGGAACTCATATACTCATGGATAAAAGGATTTAGCTCATTCTAAGTTGACACAGGTATGGATGAAAATTCAAAAAGTCATTCTCGCTGTTTGCAAAATAAAAAAAAATAAAAAAAATTGTGAATGTGAATTCGGAAATAGAAACGAGACTCTAATTGGTAGTGATTTTCGCGATAACGTATTTTCCACCAGTCAGGTTCTCATTGGAACGCCGAGTCAGCACACGCAAAATTTTGGTATTCTACATTTTCCAAAATTCACACTCACCTCACATACATCATAACTCTTACAGTTTTTCCTCCTTATTATTTCAAAACTTTAATTTTGTGATATTAATCTCCAATTATTAGGAAATTTTTGGCGCACGGAAAGAATCTAATGATACAAATGAACCTAAATAGCCAGGCTGTTTCTCGCACCATTCGAAAATAATATGAGTAGTTAAGATAAAATTGATCAGTTTCAATATTAGGTTTAGGTATTAAGATTGTCTTTTTTTTTCTATTTCATTCTCCTGTAGGAATGGTAGTTCTAATTAAGTTTCTTCTGTTTGTTTCAACCACTTCAGATCTTCATCCCATTTTTCGGATATCAAGGGTCTCAATTAAAGGAACCTTTTGTAGACGGATCTGCAAGAGTCATGTTGCCAGAAACATGGTTCCGATTCTTTGGATCACTATAAAGACGAATTTCTTGTACTCGATTTATAACAAGAGCTCCCCATGTACCTTCATTCCTGAAACAAAAAAAAGGTTTCATTGAATCCGATCAATAAAAAATTGGAGAGCCGTGGTAGCTCAGGAGAAGTGAGGTGTCCGTGTTCAAATACCGGCGATGGCTGGTTGTTACGAATTCTGCAAACCGTTAGAATGGACCACAGTGCTAACGTAAAATATCCTCAGTGGTAAACAGATTATTAGCTAGAATCCTCTTGCCGTCAGGCTAACCGTGGGAGGTTTTCGGAGTTTTCCTCACCATGTAACACAAATGCTGGCTAGTTCCTTTGAAAAAGTCCTCCACAAATTTCCCCCAATACTTGATCCAGGAGTTCCCTAGTATTCTGGATTGCGTTCAAAATTTCAAGGTGGCTAGTCAATTGAACATTAGTAGTCGTAAACCAGAAATTGGGTCGGTTGTTTAACGATGATTATAAAATAACAATAATAGATTGGAGAGTTTTGGTGGCTCAGGGGATAGAGCGTTCGCCTTCCAATAAGGTGACCCAGGTTCGAATCCCAGCGATGGATGGTTAATACGAATTCGCAAGCGGCTTGCACCGACACAATGCTGACGTAAAATATCCTCAGTGGTAGACGAATCATGGATTAGAGTTCCCTTACAGTCAGGCCAACCGCGTCAGGTTTTCGTGGGTTTTTCTCTCCATGCAAATGTGTGTTTGTTCCATCAAAACGTCCTCCAAGAAGGCAAATTTCGCCCAAAACTTGATCCAGGAATTCCCTTGTCTTCTGGATTGGGTTCAAAATTACAAGGCTACAGAGTGGAGCATTGGTAGTCGTAAACCCAAAAATTTGGTCTGCTGTTCAACGACGGTTATTAAATAAAATTTAAAAAATAATAAAGGGATGTGAGAGACATTGCCCGGGTTCCCTACACTGATGTTTTTTCAAGGTAAAGTGCCACTGCCTGTTACACGTTTGTTCGGTGCAAACAACATTGATTTTTTTTTAGGTTAAGTGCCATTGCCCCCGTTATTCCCTTTACTGACCTTGGAAGTGAAGGATTGCCTTTGTGATCCCGAATTCTTTCACCGTGGTCTGACGTTTTTTTTTAATAGCTCATTTTAACGGAACTGTATCCAATATATCTGAAAATAAAATTTCTATCATACGGAATCCTTCGTTTCCGACTTTTTCGGGAAGGCGTTGGTAAATCTTAGGTTTTACCACAAAGGTTTCGTAACAGTCCAAAATAAAAATAAAGAGATACTAAAGCATACTTCGTAATTTTACCAAACCATTTTGGTAAAACTCGAGTTTTTTCAGGTAAAACCAAAGATTTTACAGACTTTGGGCTTTCTCCATAACAAATACAAGTGAGCGAGAACTACATAAGTTCAAATGTTACGTTTTCCTGTGATTCTATACGTAGATATACACACGTGGCATAAGCTTTTTATAACGCATCTCAGAACACATGATATGAAACATGCTGTCCTAGATGTAATAACAATTGTCTTGGTACTCTGAAAATTTAAGAATTTCTATCCAATTGTCCAGTTTCGAAATTCTTTTTCAAGTTTCGATAGTAATGCTGTATCTCAAGGTAATATTAATTTCTAACTCTTCTTAAGAATCAATTTTGGAATAAGTTTTACAGTACTTAGCAATTCATTGTCAAAAAGTATGTCATATTTTAGGTATTATTCTTCTAATTCCACTGCGACCGTCGAAGGTTTATCGTCTCGGCTTATATTTATGCGTCAGGAAGAAGTGTCTTGACGTTCGCACTATTTGATTTCCATTTTCTCGAATATAACATTGCAGTAGAAAATAATCCCCTGGGCAGCTGTTGAATATATAGACTGGCTACATAACTTTTTACACTTGATGAAAAGGTCCAACCATATCTTGTGTCCTTGTTCCGGATTCGGTGTCCAGGATCAAATATTGTCATTTATCTTCATAATTAATATTTTTACTGTCGTTAATTTTTTTGAAAGTGTCCCCAAAAAGCTATCTATTCAGTTCCTTCTCCATTAGAACGTTTTATTTCTAATTGTGGTAAATAATATTTTCGATTCTGATTAATCAAATATTGAGCTACATCAGAATTAGAAGTGCTACTCTTAACATCAATTAACTTATTTACTTACGTTTTCAAAGCTACATAGCCATCCGTATAATATTCCTTCATCAGACATTCAGATTAGATTTTTGATTCTTTAGAATTAGCATCTTGTATTAAATAATCAATAAAGTCTTGATCGTTAGAACTTTATATGTCCCACTTGAATGGTAATTGAGAAAACAGAACAGACACTTCAATATCATCTATTATTTTTGTTTTCAAACAATCTTCGACAGCATTTACAGCTTTTGTAAAATTATTTCAAAGTTCAGTTCCTAATTTTTTAATTCTTTCGATAACTAGATTTAGAATACCAGTACCGTATACAGAATTTTTTCCAGGGCTGTGACAACGTTTCCTGATAGTAAAATTTGTCGTCTAAAGAAATTTATCATCAATCAAAATTCCGACTAATTTCCAACTAACTATAGCAATCAAATCTCATTCGGAGTTTTATAACTGCCGAAAATACTAACTTCAATCGTTACCCAACCACAACGAGACTAATTTATCTCGAAAAAGAATTTATTCTCAGTTGAAGTTCTGACAATTTTATGTCAAGATGAAATGCCCAAGTTTCAGCTGGATAGATGACAATAGATGTTTTTTTTTTTTGGGGGGGGGGATCAAATGACTTCTAGGGAGGTGGTGGATGCGTTTTTGCCTTTTTGAAAGATGGCCAGTTGAATTCCAAAACAATTTTATTTTTTTGAACACTTTCTTATGCAGCTTGTTTCTTTTTTCTTGATCTCTTACCAAAACTAAATTTTTCGGAAATACAACGAAAATACTTTTTCCCTCCAAAAATAATGGGTTTTAATTTCCCAATTACTGAAAGAAACTAGATACTCAATGGGGGTGAATACCTCCCCCTTTTCGTAGTCTGTTTAGAACAATTTATTTTACTTGGCGT